GAGAGACCAGTAAGATTTTTTTTGTTTCACTTTGCAAAGGAGAAGTTCAGTGAATACTTAACTTCGCTCGAAAGCTTAGTAAAGTTCAGTGAAGTTCTGAACTCTGCGGACGTGAACAGTCTTTTATTCACACACATAGGAATGAAGTCACACAATGTTACAACAAATCAGAGATCAGTTATGTGGTTTGTCATAGGCATAGGAACCAATCAAAACACTTGTTGCTGGGGTTTAATATGTGAATAATAAAAACAACACAGACTTGTTTTGTCTTACCAGCTCTGCTTTTAGAGCAGTTTCTATCTGCTACACTCTGTGGACACGCCATGATGAATAATACATTTGTCACGTACCTCAAGACTTTATTTGAAACACCTTAAGAAGTTTAATAAATTCAATAAAACTCTATCAGCTTAAAAATAAATTTCAAAAATTAATTTGATAAAGTGCAAATTATAATATAGCTGTATCTGCAACTGTATTTTATAATGTTTTGAGCTTTTAAAATATTGCATGGTAGAACCAGAAGCTGCACTTCATATCAGTGACAAACTTTGGCATTTTTTAAAGGGTTATCTTCATTTTTGCCTTCTACTTTTCATTTCAAATTGGTTTCCATTCTCGGCAGGTTTCTAAGGTTCTTCTTCTACGAATTAAAAAAGGTTGTTAAACAACTGAGTGGCACAATACCGCTACTAGTGGTGAAAAAGTGTATTGCACCTTATTCAAAATCAATGTAGTCCTGCAGCCCTCAGCTAAAAGCTGTTGTTTTTTTGAGGCCCTCAAGGTGGCGCTCGCGGCCCATAGATTAAGAATCTCTGGCTTATGTCACGGCCACCTCAAACAGAATGTACTTTACTCGATATGATTAGTTAATACACGTCTTGATAACTCACGACACTTAATTCTTTTTCTCATTAGCAATCAGAACCTCTATCACCGAACCTTCACTCGATAGGAATTTCCGCCCCGAATCTGACATAATGCCCAAAGAGGGGCTGGGTTCACAGAGTATGTGTTTATATTGCACTGTGATCCTTGATTCTGGGCCAAAAACTATGACTGAATAAATGGCTGGTTCTAACTTGCACTGAAGCAAAGAACACTTTCTTTTTCAGACAACTTACGAAAATTTTGTTCGACTTTAAAGATGCCTACACTGAAGATAGAATAAAAGAATAATAATCAGCTGGAAGCCTCTTAGACGTATGCATACTGCAGTGCTAACGATTAAATCAAATATATAACCTATTTGAGTTATTTGGTCAAAAAAAGGTAATAAATTGATACAAGTTGTTAAAAAAGTTATAGTGTGACAGAGCCTTCAGAACTAGCCTATAAATATTTAAAAATGTTCATAATCAGCCTGATCAATCATATAAATGACTGGTGGTGAAGCATGAAGAAATTACATTTTTTCTTGGTGAATTGTTCACCAGTGTGGCAAATACATTGGCCAGCTAAATGCTAAATGGACCTTTTTATGTCCAACTTAAAGTGCTCTTTAGAAATAAAATAAAACAAGCTACACGCAGGCCAGTTGCAACAGGGCAGGCAAACTAGGCCCCAAGCTGACCTGTGGTCCCCAAACGACTGGTTATGTTTTAAATGCAACACCCAACTGTGTGAGCATTCCTCTATTCTATGGTGGTCAATGCAGGAAAGTGCAACGACTGTTATGGAAACCCCCATCAAGGGGGCCCATTTGAGGGGAGTCCTCCCTCTAGCTGCTACCCTTGGCTACTCCTGACTCTCTGTGTCAATGGCCTCAGGTGAGACAAGCCTTTCAGCTTTAAAGGTGGTAAAAACACAGATAAGGTCCACCATGAGCCAAGAGGTGCTCACAGGACTGGCACTTAAATCATTGTATGGAAATTGGTGGAAGGTCCACCAAGTCCCTTTTTGCCTGGGACCCCCAAAGTGCCTTGCCTTGGCTACGTTTGATTCAGTCTTCTTAAAACGGACTATAACACTGTGATGTACTCTAAAACTGCTGACTGTGTCTGTCATTCGGAACACGTTTCAACGAAAGGTGAGTCTTAGGATGACTTGAAAAAACCTGCCCCTTCTGTCCCGTTCATTGTTTGCTCTCACTTTAAAGTAAGGATAGCTGCAGGCGTGTTCGAGTTCAGGCTTGTTGCCAGATGTGGTAAATGTGAGGAAGCTTGAGGAAATGGTCATTGCTTAATAAAGAGGAAGTCTTCAAAAAGAAAGAAACTTCACACAGGTGACTGCTGAATCAGTGTTCACACAACTGTTTTCCTGCAAACCTTGTTCTATTTTAGCTATTCTTATATCTGAAGGTTCAGTTCTTTTAGGAGGGTGAGGAGATTTAGATTTCGCAACTTTTATACTAATTTTACAAATGTTTTCTGTATTGAAGTGCATTGCAATCTTTTCAGTTCATTCAAAAACATTGTTCCCTTTGAAATCTAATTCAGCATAATTATGTTACTTTTAAGTTTTAGCTAGCATTCTGCTTCTTTTAGTTTTAAGTCAGACTTTTTCTACTCTTTTTTCTTCTAGCTAGCTCCGTGGTTCTCCCAGTGTATAATAGACCTGGTGGGCTTTCATTAGCAACATAGCACTCTGCTACCACTAGCTTCACCACCCCCCTGGCATTAAAGAAAATAAATTGCTCTATTACTACTAGCACACCTGCCTTRGTAAGTTTTCTGGGGGAAACCCTGCTAGCTTATGCTCCTGTTAGCATTTAGCTAGTGCTCTGCTTCTTTTAGCTCTAACAAATCAATTTTAGCTCCTTCACTTTCAGCACAGTCATTCAGCACTCAAAATTCCCCGTATTTTCTCTGTTGTTTGTTCAAATCTAACGCATGTATTTGCTAAAAACACCCTCTTGTTTATTTCTCTGTTCTCTCAGTTCACAGTATGTTTGCGTCGTGGGGGACAAACGGTTTACCAGCAGGTGCTGTCTGTGGAGCGTCCCCCCACGTTACAAGGCTGGAACTGGGGCTTCTGTGGGGAGTACGCCTTCTATCATGCTCTGTACCCTCGCGCCTGGACTGTTTATCACCTGCCGGGTCAGAACGTCACCCTCACCTGTAGGCAGATTTCCCCCGTCATCCCTCATGATTACCAGGTAACAAACATATCTGAACCTGTTGTGTCCAACATCAAAAGATTAGACTAAAAGGATGTTTTGACGAGAAGAAACAAAGTTATGGTTGTTTCAGACAAACCTCGTAAATGATATTTTATGTGATATCCTAAATGTAGCTAGAGATGCACCAATCCTGTATAATATCTGTATTATCTGTAATATCTGTATCTCATCCAACACCATGGATCGATGTATTAGTTGTGGATCGATGTTAGACCCCTTTTAGTTAAAGATTAATTAGCTGCCATTGACCATGAAAATAAGCAAATTAGAATTTTGAAAATAAATTTGCTCAATGGAAACACGTTAATTTCGAAAAAACTTCCTTTTTCTGACAAAATGTTTTTACGCTAGGACGAGGTGGTTTTTCGGTCGTATCGAAATTGGTGTATTTTGCAAAACTGCAATGGAAACACTTTTTTTGCATCATGGGAGTCACATGATCAACAACCGACTGTTTCTACTGTCAAAAAAGATGATGACGAAGAACACAACAGGATGTAGAAGTAGTAGTAAAATCACCGACTACAATTTCCCAAAAACGCCGTATACATAGCTGCTCCCAAGTATGAGGGGCTTGTCGTTTGAAAGCCTCGATAAGTTCACATTGCAGGCAAACCCGACCAAAATCCAATTTTTTTGCCCCATCTGACCCATTTCCGATTTTTTATGACAGTCTGAACGCGACAAATCCGATTTTTTCAAATCCGACCCAGSCYGTTTCAGTATGTGGTTTTAAATCGGATATATATCTGATGTTTTCAGTGACTGCAGTGTGAACGCTCGTGTTGCATTCCATCTGACTTTTTCATCAGTGAGCTGGGGGTGAAAGATCGATAAGACACTAACCTCAAGCCACGCTGTTTAAATCTGCAGCTCCATGTGTTTACAGCTCCAAAACACAAGTCCTGTTGCTTCATCTTTTTACGTCCAGCCTGGGTCACAGAGCGTATTGATCCTAAAGTTACTCGGTCGATACTTTATTTCCAGCTCATTGTTTCATTCAAAAATAAAAAGCTTCACTGGAGCATCATAGTTAGAGTCAGGTTCAGATATAAACACTGAACTAAACAAGAGTTAGATAATTATTTAATCAGCTCTGAGATTAAACAACAGCTTCAGATTCGACATGCAAAAAGTACAGTAGCATCCATGCTAACTCTGTAAACAAACAAGCCRGCTGAATGAGACGTCACGTCTTTACTGCGCATGTGTGTCACATCAGCGCTGTGTAGCATTCACACTGGAGTCTGATGCAGGTCGCATTTAAAATGTAATGTGAACGTTCACACAAAAAGATAGGATTTTTTTAAAGGAATTGAGCATTAAGACCTGCAGTGTGAACGTAGGCTGAGACGCCGACGTCTCCTCTGATGATGAGCGCCAGTGCCGTGGTAGCAACATGCTATATGTTTACATCCATTGCCGCCATGTTTGTAATGACTTATCGTGAGAACAAACGTATTCACGCGTGACTTTAATAGCATTTCTTACTTAATGGAAACACAGATATTGCGAAACTGTGTTTTTTCGACATTAACAGAATATCAACAAAGTTTTGCGTACATTTGCAATGGAAACGCAGCTAGTGTATCCCTTATCTATATCTCYTTTTAGGATTCCAGTCTTCCAGTGGCAGTGTTTGTTTGGGACGTAGAGAACAAAAATGACTATGATCTAGACGTCTCCATCATGTTTACAATGGTCAACGGATCAGGACACAAGGACGACAAAAGCGGGGGACACTGGAACGAACCGTTTCACCTGGAAAAGGACGGGGAGGCGGTGTCTGGAGTCCTGCTACATCACTGCACTACAGTAAACCCTTACACCCTGTGCATTGCAGCCCGAGAACAGGTTGGGTTTAATTTTATTTCATCAGCAGCTCCAAGTTTTGTTTCGATTTCTCAGTGTATAAATGTGGTTTTCTAATTTTGCTAGCCGGACAGGGAGGTCAGCCACCAGACAGCATTCAGTCCAAAGGGAACCTGCAGAGATCTATGGAACGACCTCATCACTGACGGACGACTGGACTCTCCCACAGGTCAGCGCAGAGGCCACAGCTGTGCTTTGACCCGGAGTTATGTGTAGAAGCAGTACAATAAAACAATGGTATCTTCTGTTCCTCTCTGCAGGATCCAGTCCGCCCACACTGAAGGGGGAAAAGGTGGCAGCTGCCTTAGCGGTGGGCTGCCTGGTGCCCGCTCACAAACACAACAGCTTGGAGTTCTGCCTGGCCTGGGACATGCCCAAAATAACATTTGGCTCAGGAGAGAGGGAACACTTCAGGTACCAAAGACCTGATGTCATGTTGCTCTGACAAAGGTGGACATGTAACTGACACGCTTAAACTTAAACTTTACACTAAATATCAGAAACCTCTATTTCACCACACACATACACACACACACACATACACACACACACACACACACACACACA